GAACTCTAATTTTAAATTAGAAAAAGAGGTAAAGTAATGGTAACATGTTTACATGCATTATTATTATTATTATTATTATTATTATTATTATTATTTTGCTATATTGTACAAGCATTATTGACTTAATGTTTTAACTTCCAGAGAGTCAACTCATACAGATGATTAAACTTGTTGATATTCAGGAACAACTAAATTAAAGATCGATCCAGTTTCATGACGAGTTAGATCCGATTATTCCCAGTACTGAATCTGAATCTACAACAAATGTGTGCATGTGTGCAAATCTCGTTTAAGTTGTAGAATTGATTGATGTTCGTATTTGTGAAGACAGAGACTTTAGATGTACATACCTTGTATTCTATCATAAGTGGAGACTGCTGATGAAGGAGATGAAGCAGAAGAAGAAGAAGAGGAGGAGGAGGCAGATGGGTAGAAACAGTTTAGGCGATAGAATCTTTTCATTTCTTTTGCTGCTTTGGGCTGTACTGATTGATCTTCTGACTTCCATATATACCACTTTGAATTACTATTGTTTCAGGGTTCCCATTGTGGATGGATCACAACGGCCCTCAAAATTTGATGATCTTGATGTATTCTTGACATATTTATGAGGAATTCAGAAGGATGGAGATGGACACCAGAGAAGAATAATACTAAGGGAGACAAAGGGAGAAAGAGAGAGAGAGAGAGAGAGAGTTGATGAACGTTCTGACCTCACTTGCCTTTTTTATAAATAGCAACTTAGCATGATTTCCTCCAAATTTCTTTACGGTTCATGGGAATTATAGGTTTAATTCAATAATTAGTCTGTTAACTATCAGTTTAATTTCATTTTAGTTTAAAAAGTTTGTTTTCTTTTTAAATGATCTATAAATTTTGAAGAATATTTAAAATAATCTATTGTACAAAATTTTTATTAAATTTAATAGAAAAGAGCAGTCCTTTGAGTTTTACAAAAGTGACATTATAATCTTAATAAAATATGACGACTCAAAAAATACTTTATAAAGATAAATTAATTAGAATTTGCAATAAACTTGAACAATTAACTTAATTAAAAAAGAAAAACTTAATAAGTTTAGAACGAGAAGTTTCTAGAGTAAATCTTGCAAATACAATAAAAGTTAGAATAATATCTTATAAAACTGATGAGTTACTATGAGATAGATATATTTATAAAGTTTATAAAGCATTTACTCTAAAAGAATTAAAACATTTAGTAAGATAAGAATGAAAATTGTTGTTACAGTGAATATAAATTTAAAAACTAAAAGATTAAAACAAACATAATTAGAGGATTAAATGTTTTCTTATAGAATAAGAAGATTTCCATTAAAGATAACGGATTAGATGAAATTGAAATAAATGTAAAAGACAATAGATAGGATTAGAAGAATTTAAAGATAATAGATGAAACTGAAAAGTATAAAATTAGTAGATAATTTGTTAAATTAAGTTAAGAATTATATATAAGGAATTAACTTGAAACCAACAAATTAAATAATAGAAAAATAAGCAAATAAAGTACAATGACTTATGAATATATAATTAACAACTGTTTTATTTAAAAACTCAACTTATGTTGATCTTATATTCAATATTGGCATTTCATAATAGTGTGAAGATTTTGAATTTTAAACTAATTCTTTATTGTTTGATTAAATTTTAGTTAGTGATCTCATGATTCGAATATGCATGAGACTTTTAAGTATTTTGTTAATTCATATATTTTTTTAACAACTTTTATTATTGCATGATGCATGAACATTAAATATGTTTCATTTTTCTTTACCGTAAGAGAAACATAAGGGGCTGAACCCAACCAATTAATCATGATGAATAGAAAAATGATTTGCATGCCCAACGGATATGGATTTCCTATGGCTAGGTCATTTTTTTGCATTTTTCTATATCAACTTGTTTCGTTTGTTTAAGAGAATTTAATAGTTGGGGCCGGCGGCTGTCTCCAGTACCTTATGCTGGGGTAAATGGAAATATCTTTGTTTAAACTTTTCCCCCTTTTTTTGTTTGCTTTTCCCTCCTAGGTTTTTTGACATCTTGTTTTCTAGATTACAATAATCATAATCAAATCCATTAATTTCATAGTATAATTAGAAGTGTAACATCACTGAAAATAAAAAAAACCAAATATGTATATGTCATACATGCATAATGTGATGTAAAGATAAATAATTGAATGTATATTATAT